TTACGGTTCCATTTAGGGGTTAGGCCACTTGATTAGCGATTTCCTTTTGTTGTTGTCGTTGTTGTTAGTTTCGAATTTCGGGCTAATACCGTTGAAAATCCCAAACCGGCATCCCCGATCGAAACCTACCCTCCCTCCACCGGCATCCCGTTAACATGCATGCGGTGCCGACGGGCCTGGATTTTTCCATGTCGGATCCGTCGTTCCTCGCATTCAGATCCGTCTTGTAGGCGTCCATGTGCGGTACCGACGAGAGGTGGATTTGGGTCGCGGATGCCGGTTTAGGGTTTTTTTTGGCGGGGGGTCGTGGGTGGCTCGGTTTGGAACTTTTTGGTGGCATCAAAACCCTTAAAAAAAAAATTTTGTTTGGTTGTGAATTTGCAGGTTTTTATGGACAAAGTGTACACATCAAGAAGCAGGGCTCTCAATAATGACACCCTAGCTGGATTGCGAATTTGGTGAAAAAAAAATAGGGGAATCCTATGAGCAAAGTAGCGACGTGTGTAGGCTTCCCATATATCGCAAATCGAAATGGTGACTTTTCACATCATCCCCCCCACCATTGTTTTCCCTATCCTTAAATACGTAAAAAAGTAAAGAAAATGGAAAAAGAGATGGGGAGATCATTAGCATCGTTCGTGCTATGTGTCCGAAGACAATTTGGTCTTGTCCGGGTGGTGACCTTCACGCATGTGCAGCCCCGTCGTACTGTGCACATGACTTTGCGTATGTGCTGTGTTCCATCACCACCTCAATTTGTAATTCTTTCTTTCTTTCTTTCTTTCTTTCCAATTTTTGAATTTTGAAGCGTGGATCGTGAGGTGTTAACTTCAGCCAGCCAGGACATTATAAATAATATAAGGATTAATACCACGAAAAACTCCAAACCGGTACATCTGTGACAGATTTACTCTCCGTTAATTTCCGTTAAATTTTACCGTCGAATTGCTAAGTCGGATGACACGTGACATTTGACAAGAGTGCTGGTTTAGGATTTTATCCCTATGTTTGTTACTGATTTATCAGTTTGTAATTTTTCATGGTATTAATCCAATTTAAACAGAGGATAAATTTATCACGGGTATATCAGTTTGTCACGTACGTACCAGTTTGAGATTTTTCGTCGTATTAATCCTAAATAATTTAATTAGATAAGATTTAATAATATTATAGAAAAAGGAAGGGGGGCGGGGTCGGATGGAATAGTTGATTTGACATGCAATCCAAGGAAAATTTGACCTACCCCCCAAAGAAGGAATTCCTTTCTAAGTCAAATGTCGCTTAAATTTTGATTGAGGAAGGGAGAGATGTGGATGGCTAATTATCCCCCAAACCGCATAGACTTTTTGGACACCCTGCCTGATTGAGATCACTATCGGAATGACTTGCGACCCCGAAATCCCACCAATCACAGCTCCAAATCCACAAAATCGAGACAGACCCAAGATTATCCTTTGGCAATATAATTAATTGAAACCCCCAAAAAAAAAAAATAAACTCGTGTTTTTTTCCTTCTTCTTCTTCTCGAATTATTTGTAAATTGCCCTCTTTGGCTCTTGCTGTGTGTCATATCAAATCATATATGCTTCAGAGAAGTGACACTGTGATGGTGCGGCAGAGAATGCTACGGATCCGAAGCGGGGATTGGTCGCACCCGTGCACGCACAAAAGGGTCGAAATTATTTATTAATTATTCTCAATAATCTTAGGGTTTCGAAAAGAATTATTGATTTTCGACAATTTCATGGTGATTATAATAATAATAATAATGCATGAAAGTTAGTACCTAGCTTAGACACCAAATAGGGCTCGGTGTGTCTCTAGCCAAAACAGGTCTAGTTGGAGTTTTTGTTCCTTTGCTCACTTTTGGGCGGGCAGCTTGGCGTGACCCACATGGACTTTGCCCAATAAAAAGCTTAACCATACTTAGAAAAATGAATTGAAATTATAGATAGAATCTACCCAAAATTAAACAACTAATTGACAAAGCTCGGACGTCAAAATCCGATTCCAACTACTTTCAATTTCAAAACCTAGATCGTGCCCTTAGAGCAGTGCTCATGTTTGTGTGGGGACACCAAGCCAAAGTGTATTCGCGAGAGTTTTGAAAGTTGTGGCTTCTTTGATGATATGATTAGATTGTCGAGGAGTTTAACCACCCCCTCAAGCAATAACCCGCGATTGCTAATCGTCGCGTCGTTCGCTTCGTGATTGCGATTTGATAGTGCGCCCCCCCATCTTAATCCTATCTGTTCGCTGGGCATGCGCGAGCGTAACCTTTTTATCGGGATTCCGAGTCATACGCGTCGCGTAGCTAGGTTGGCTCTAATAGATATACTTTGACGTAACGCTTCGATTATTTTGGTAATTTGAAAATTTGAATCACCAGAGAAATGACGGCGCTGCTCATCGAGCACGTACACTTTCGAGATACCCCTCCCTACCTCATTTCAAAATTTCTCTTCTTTTCCCCCCCTCGGAACGTAAGTTTTGGATGGTAAATTCACCTAACTATCGTTTGACAAAACACTTCGATTATTTGGGTATTTTGAAAATTTGAATCGCTAGAGAATTGATGGCGCTGCTTATCGAGCACGTACGCTTTCGGGATACCCCTCGCTATCTCATTTCAAAATTTCTCTTCTTTTCCCCTCTCGGCACGTAAGTTTTGGATGGTAAATTCACCTAACTATCGTTTGAAATTCTCGTGCCCGTACACAAAAACTTAGAATGAAAAATGAGTTTGAACATTTGCAAATTCTCTAACTCGAGGGTAGCAAACATAAAAAAATTTCGCATGAAATCGCGTATATCATAATACTCGCTTTGCAAAAATTAACTCGAGACGACAATCGATCACCGGGGGGGACTACGGCCCCCCCGCCTGCCCCCTCGACCCTTTTGATGCCTACATTCGCCCCCTAGAAAAAAATACGGGGAAATGTTACATTCGTGCGTATACGAAGCCCGATACTCATGTTACCGTACAAATTGAAACCGCCAAACGTATCTTCTAAGAATTTCTGAGCACCCAAAAACGAGACTCATTGCTGTCAAAGATTACAATATCGCATTGTTCAGACAAAATAATTTTTCCCTGAAAACTTGTTGTACACGTCCATGGATGGGGAGCTGATCACACACACAGAGACCCCCTCTCTCTCTCTCTAAAGAAGTCTTTCATTACGGTAACCTGCAACATTTAACATGCGCGGCAGAGTTGGGGCCATTTTCCTATTTATTTCAGCACAACCACTCCGCCTCATTCTCCCATTTAATCATTTTGTCTTCCCTCCCATCGGGTGGAAATTCGCCACTCGTACCAAAATTTGATACCATCAAAAGCGCATCTCTGAGCACAAGCGCCGAGCTTTGATGCAGTGCAGTCCCGAATTCCAAAACCAGCAAAAACTTTCATTACCAAAGCCCCTAAAGAAAAGCGCGCCTTGTCTGTCCCTTACGGTCGTCAAAAGATCAAACGTTAGATGCGCCCTCCTCGCGTGATTTTGCTCGGCAAGAAACCGATTTGTCTCGTGAAGTTCTCGCTACAGTACACGGGCGCGCTCGCCCCGCAACACGACCCCGACTTCCCCTTCTTTGCTATTATTATTATTATAATGTGCGCAGAATCCGACCAAACAACGAAGAAGAAGAAAAAGTTGGGAAATCTTGCGAGACTCTGCACAGAATCCCTAGCTAGTGCTGTAATTATTAGGCCCCCTTGTGGTCACGTCATATGTCCATATCTAAACTCCTCAGCTCGCAGTGTTTCATGGGGCGCGATAACCCCAATGCCCCCCCCCCCCAAATCCCCATCCCATACCTCCTCGTCTGTCATTGCTTAAGACCCGGATTCAAATCCAAGAATTCCCGACTTGATAAGCCCTTCCAAATATCTCCCCCCACCAAACTCCAAGAAACACAACACGCCCATGTGGGGAGCAAACGACCCAAAGCGAAGGTACACTGAATTCTAATTAAAAACCCACTTTCGTTCCTCATCATCATCATGCAATTATTAATGATTAAGTTGAGGTGGCTCTCTCTCTCTCTCTCTCTCCCCCCCTCCTCTCACATCTTTCGCTCCTTCCCTTAAAAGGTAAGTGAAATCATAGAGCAAGAACAGTGGAAGCTGTACCCCCTCGAGAGCCTCAACTACCCCCCCCCCCCCCCGGAACTCTCTATCCATTAGCTCCGAATAAGATATCGATTACCCCTCTGCATTGCTGCTTAAGTCTTTAGGCTAGGGCTAAACCTAGGGTTTCCTTCTAAACCCATTTAAGAAAACTTAGCTTTAGGAGCAAATAAGAATGATTCGGGTTCGTTCCACTAGGGAGGAGAAGGCGCCCCTCCCGAGTGGGGTTCCCTTCTTTATTCAAATTAATCCTTTTGGGTATTAAATTTAAAGATCACCAACTTCATTCAACCACCAAGATCAGACCAGATTCTGTTCCTGGAAATGGAGATCTAAAGAGGAAAAAGAGAAGAAACCCTTTTCTCTTTTATCGTATAATAATGAGAAGAAGAAGCCGGCGTAAGCTTAAACCCATTTCTTTAAGGAGATGGAAACGAAGGCAGCGATGCTTAAAGCTGCTTCAAGTGGATTAGATTCATTAGAATATGATTATGCGGCCGCCCCCAAATCCCACCGCCGAATACACACACGCGCATACGTACCTACGCTTTCTGCTCCTATCTTTCGGACAAGATCAGACGAGAAGGAAAAAGAAACCTATTATTCTAATCTAAATCTTAAATCATCTTTATCTCTCTCTCTCCCTCTTATCCTTCTCTATAGCCATTGAAATCCTCCCCACTGTCTGAAAATTTAATATTATCCTCTTCAGTCTCGAGTCTTTCTCCACTGGGATAGAGCTCCCATCGTCAGCGTGCTTCATGACACCCGCGACCCAAACATCCCCGCACTGAGGTTGAATTTTGCCCGAAGAATCTCGGCGGGGCGAACATGATGAATATAAAAAAAGAGATCAGCGCGAATGTGAATCGAGAAAAGGGTCTTGGATTAGAAAGCAAAAAATAAATTCCCTTTGGATCGAATTCCTTTTTCTCCAGGTTATCCTCGGCAAGGCGATTCCATTAATCAGAAGAAGATGAAAAAGAAAGAAGGAACGGAAAATTTAAGAAACAAAAAAGAAGCAACTGATTAATAACCCCAAGTTCTTACTCTACCTCTCTAAACATTACTTATTATCTTGCTAAAAAGAAGGAAGGATCAGGATCAGGATCAGGATGAGATGTGATCAGCTTCAGGGGATAAAGATTCAAGAAGAAGAAGACGACCCATTAGTGCCCACATGAGCTCCGCCATCATGGTGGTGGTTGTAGTGACCCGACGACGTCGGGTGGTTGTCGCTGCTGAATCCGCCAATTACGACGTTGTTGTTGTCGTCGTCGTCGTCGTTGCTGCTCATGCCGCGGTGGTGGCTGTTGTTGGTGTTGTCGTTGTCGTTGCTCAAGCCGTTGTGGTTGTGATGAGTGGTGGGGATGGTAGTGTTGTTACCGAGACTGAGGCTGTTGACGTTGCTGTTGCCGTCGCCATTGACGTCCCTCTTGCCGAAGGTGTTCTTGTTGTTGTGCATCCATACCTTGAACACGTTCCGATCGACGCCGACCTCGGCGCAGAACTCCCGGACCAGCTCCTCGTCCCGCTTCTGCATCTTCCACCCGACTCGCTCGGCGAATTCATGCATCCTCTCCTTCTGGTGCTGGCTGAATTTCGTCCGGAACCGCTTCCGCGAGCCCGGGTGGTGGCCGCTCGGGCTCACCATCGCGGCCGCGGAGGACGGCTGGGGGCCCTGGGGCGCCGCGGCGTTCTCGGGCGCGGCGGAGATGCCGGTGGAGAGCGCGAGGAGCATGTGCGGCGCGGACGGGTAGTAGGAGGACGAGATCGGCGGCGGGGAGGCGGAGTTGGGGCTGCGCGGCGGGTGGTGGTGGTGGGGGTGGTGGTGGTGGTGCGGGGGTGGGGGCGGCGGGTGGTGGCGGTGGTGGGGTTGGTACTCGATGACGGCGGAGGCGGTGGGGGTGGGGTCGTCGGGCTCGCGGCGGTGGAAGTTGCGGTGGCACCCGCAGGCCGCGCACTTGAGGGAGGTGGGGTCGGAGGGGTTGGCGGTCGGGGAGGGCATGAACTCGCCGCAGCCGTCGAGGGCGTAGCCGCCCAGGCTGGCGGCGTGGTTCTTGAGGCATTTCTTGTATGCGACGGGGCCGGCGGCGGCGGCGGCGGCGGTGGCGGGGGAGCAGAGGTGGTGCGGGGAGTGGCGCTTGAGGACGCCGTTGCTGAAGGAGAGGGGCTTGGGGGGCTGGATCCGGGTAGGGGTCTCGGTCTCGGGCTCCGGGGACTTGGTGCTGGCGGTGTTGGTGGAAGTGTTGGTCGGGGTCATGTCCATGGCTCTAACATCTAGGGTTTCAGAAGTATATATATGAAACAGAGACACACGAAAGAACCAGAAGCAAGCTCAAGCTTAGGGGAGATGAAAATGAAGGAGAAGAAGATGGTGATGAAGGAGGGTGGTCAAAGTCAGGGTTTGAAGAGAACCCATTTCTGCACCCATTAAAGAGCTTCAGGATTTAGCAGAGAGAGAGAGACAGAGAGAGATCAAGAAGCATAATTAGCTTCTCTGGTGTCTTTAGGTTTAGCAAGAACAGAACACCAGGAAGGAGAAGAAGGAGAAGGAGAAGGAGAAGGAGAAGGAGATGATGGTGGATGATGAGAAGGAGACGATGATGATGGAGGAGGAGGAGGAGGGGAAGAAGGAGAGAAGGGTGTTTGTGTGTGTAGAACTGTTGATAATAAAAAAAAAAAATCTGATAGGTTTTGTGGTTGTGCTTTCTTAACCCGCCTCGGCCCCTTTTTTAACCCGAGGTTTCTAATCCATGGTTAAGTCTCCCTCCCCCCAGACCCCACCTGGGGTTAGATATTGTTGTAATAAATATGCTCCCTTTGGCTTTGCTCTCTCTATCTCTCTGACTTCTGCTACCGCCACTACCCCCGTTGCTATCGCCACGCTCCCCACGATCTCAAAATGGACCCAACAGCGAGACTCTCTTTTGCTCGACTCGGGCGACAATCGCGAGGAGGAGGAGGAGGTCCGTCCGAGTTTTTACACGGGGAATGAATGCCGGGTCAGTGCATGTGACTCGGTCGAAGGTGTCCCGAGTTGACTCGGGGAATAAATGATAGAGACCCACCGAGGTGGTGGTGGTGGTGGTGGTGGAGGTTGTGGTGGCGGTGGAAAAACATGGGAGTTCAAAAAGAGGAAGAAAATTTTAAAAGCGCCAGGCGGCGGGGCCCGGCGATTCTGTACGAGGACTGTCGTAACCCACCTTTCGATTTGAAACGGGGGCGGAGGTTGTGGAGGTGGTGATGGTGGTGCATGAAAAACTTTGCAGTACATGGGGGGCTAGCCCGGGGCGGGACCGCATTCCCACAGTACTACAACCCGACCTAAAACCCTTTTGATCTTTTCCCTTGTATCCTTTTTGTCACTCGTCATGATAAGTAAAAAAGGACTCTCGTGGGGTTTACTTACTTTCTTTTGACCCAATCATCCTCTCCGTTTGGGGCCTTGCGCATCTAATTTGACCGGTGCTAACTTGAATTTGGTCGTTTGTCCGGAGGTAAAGCGATCGAGATTTTGCGACTCGAGAAGACGTGTAGGGAAGTACGCGGGGCGTGGTCTCGATGTGAACGACCCCCGTCTTGCACGGATAGTCCTCGTGCGTGTTGTGGACGCGGGTTTTTTTTTTTGACCTTTTACCCGCCGTAAAGTGTTTGAGGAACTCCCCGATTGTCTTTGAGCCTTCGACACCTTGCCGCCGCCGCCGCTTTTATCTGCCCTGATCGAGTTTGAAGACGCTAATGACCCCACATAATCCAATCGATGTTATGTGAGATGATATATGAAACGGCTTATAATTCTTCCTTTTTTTTTTTGTCTCGCTCGTTTTTTTTATATACATGTGTATGCGGTACTCATAGGAATCAAACCGCCAACTTGGTACTCATTGGCATCATTGCCCAATCCATTTGCCAGTAAAGCCGCATGCCTATTGATATATAAGACAACGTCTAATTCAGTGGTTAATGTTCAAGTAAAAATTTATGCTGGAAGATATATCGATGGGTTCGAACTCGCCGGCCATCTTATCAATTAGAATTCCGACGCGCGTTCCTTACACTGTCTTGCACAACCAAAGCTTAAAAAGTTACACCTTACTGCTGCGCATGGAAAGGTGCATGGCGAAGATCTTACAAGCCTTGTACCACAAACATTTGTCACCTCGTTTAGGGAAAAAAAAAAAGAAGAACTTTCTAACTCGCGGCACATTATCATCTTACGGCGACGACCTCGTCAGCCTCCGACCCTCTCTTTTTAACCGGAACAGCCTCCCGCTCCGAACGCCCGGGGAAAACACTAACCATCGTCACGGTTCGTGCAAACATCGATCCGCGGCGCGCAAGGCATCTTACCACGAAGAGAGAGCTCCCCCTAATTTACCCATCTCCTCCCCCCCTTTTTAACCAATTTGCACGTAACAACAACAACGCCCGGCGAAAAGAGGAGCTCATCATAACCAAACCATTTGTCGCGTTAGGGCAAAAACCGACGACAAGAGAGGTTGTAAAGGCCATTTACAGCCTTAACCTCCCTAGCATTTTCAAAATAGGTATTTTTGTCGGCTAGAGAGGCTTCCCTGTCGTGCCCACCCCACCACCTTCGACACAGATTTCTCCCCGAAACGACGCCGCTTCTTCGCCGTGACGCGCGAGACGCCCCCTCCATTAAAAGCTCTGACACGAAACGAGGAGCAAAAAAGCCCCCCCCGCGACAGCTGGCTAGCTCGCTCGCGAGGGAGGCCGCATTCCCCGAAATGCCCCTCCCTCGCCCCCCGGAATTACCAGACCCCGCCACCGCCACCTCCTCCCCTGATGATAAAGCCCCCGGATGTCATGTCATCCCGTCCCCCCCGTTCCCCTCCTCCCCACGTAATCACGCGAATTAGGGGCTGCGAAAACACATGTTGTTAGCGCGGACACGTGTTAATTCCGCCCCTCCACGTGGCGCCTCCCGGCAAGCCGCGGGCCACCGCGTGTGGGGGGCGGGGGGTCGCTCTCGCTCGCGCGCCCTCCTCCTTCGCGATTAGCGCGGTTCCCCCGTCGCTCAATTACGGTCTGGCTTGAAACAAAATAATAAATGGGGGAAAAAGGCTAAATAAAAACCACTAAGGCTAAGTTCGTTTGGCGGAAAATATTCTCGCTTTTGGAAAATATTTTAAAGTCATTTTCACGAAAAATGTTTTAGAACATAATTTTCCGGTGTTCGATCGAATATGAAAAGTTTCGGAAATATTTTCGCCGTGGCCGGCGGCCGGCGGCCGGTGCCCGGTGGCGATGGTAGGCAGCGGCCGGCGCTGGAGCGATGGTGGCCGACGACCTTAGTGAAGAAGAAGAAGAAGAAGCCCAGGAAAATGATTTCGCTTTTGAAAAAGCGGAAGTCATTTTCCATAGGCTAAATTTATTTTGTGAAGGGGAAGGAAAATATTTTTCCACGGAAGCGTTTTCCGCCCCGAACACCGGAAAACCCGGAAAATATTTTCCGGAAGAATATTTTCCGCCAAACGAACGGAGCCTAATTATGCAACGCATTTACCACGGTAAAAGACTTACGATTACGACCACCGTGGCACATTAATTATAAACTTTTTTCCGTGACATAGAAAAACCTTAAACTTATGCTGATGTGAAACATTTATCCTTCATCGAATAATTTTTCAATCGAAATAACGTCGTTTTTATTTCACTTAAGCCACATAAGTGTCATATCATTGTTATGCACTTTCTGGCGTCCATATAAGTAGATTTTTAGTGATTTTTCGTCGATATAATTTTGACGGAAGGTAAAGTATCGCAGAGCTACAAGTTTAAGATTTTTGGTATCACGGAAAAATATTTAGAAGAAAACGTGTCACGGTAAGTATAATTTTTATAGTTTATTTTTGTGACTTTTATCCTGTTTTCAATGAAAAGGTGGGACAAGTTCCAAGTTTTTAAGCTGTTGATTTGAAATTATTAATACGCGTCGACCAACGCGAGTCTGTCGAGAGTTTTGCACTGACTTCCATGGCGCCTGCCCCTGTTCGTTGTGTATTTTCAAGGCGAGGAAAATGATTAAAAAAAGAGATTTAAAAAATAGAGAGGAGTAAAAAAAATTATATGAATGCAAGCAGATGAATGGCTTTTTTTTTTTCCTTTTTGCTTTTCTGGGTTTGCGCGACATGAGAAAAACCCCAATCATTCAGCAGCTGCTGCTGCTGCTGAGGTTTAATCATCGATGACCGTATTTCTTTTAATTCTAACCGTTGCATCGAGGCTCGCAAATTCGTGGGACTTCTAAATACCATTTAGTGAGGAGATTATACGTGGGTGAGCACGGGTCCGGTGTAGATCCCGGAATCGGATTGAGCCGGCCTTACCCAGCAGGTTCGGGTTTTGTTCTCGATCCGAAGTGCGGAATTTGACCGATCTAACCTCGATTCTCTCCTTTTTACTCTTGCATCTCGAACTTTTTGTTGTTCATTTCATTTTACGAGTCCATCCTTTTGAGGATTATTGCTTTTGGCGGACGGGGGTTTCCGTCGTTGCTTTAATAACTCGTTTTTTGCTTGACTAAGGGATGAGTTGGACACATCCGCATTGCTTTTCTATATCTGTTTGTTTTGCATTGGTTTTTTTTTACTCCTCAAAGTTTTGTTGCTCTCCTTTTTGGCTCTCGATTGCTATTTGTTTTAATTGCAGAAGGAATCGCTTTACTTCTCAAACTAGCAAGAAAAAATTGTCATGCCAGGGAATAAAATTAACGAAACCCACAATAGAACAAAAGGAATTAGCCGGTTTCACAATCCACGCAGAAGATTTCAAGTTCGAAAAATTGGGAAGCGAACCTCAAACCGGTCACTCTAAATTTACCATTTTTCAGAAAGAAAGGAAGAGATGGAATGGACCGGGTCAAGCTTAGGCATGCACGGTAGCTTTTTCACAGCGTGCGGTAAAAAAGCATGCATGGCGACCCCATCTCATTCGTAAAGGGGTTTCTCCTTAAAAGGTAAAAACAAAACAAGAAGGATTTAGAATTACTTTGTCCCCGATGTAAATTAATGCATAAATGTTTTTCTGTCGAATTGACCCCTTTATACCACGCTTTATGTTTCGGGCGTAAATTCAAAGTCATTCTTTTCACACGTTTTTTTGGTCCATCTTAGTGTAGATTTGGATAGTGACCTTTTCATTGCGCCGTAATGACAATTTTCTTTGTATAGAGTCAAACGCTAATCACGTGAATTCACATGGACAAGAAGTTCCGCAAACATACGAGTCTCGCGAAATTTGATAATTGCGATTGCACCCAATTGGTATTCTAACGCGATTTTCGTACCGGACTAAATGTAGGAAGCTTCATATAGAATTTCTACTATTGCAAAAATATATATATGTGCGCGCATATTTAATTGTCTCCGCGGTAGATTCTCTGACAAGGGTGGTCCATTTTCATTTCGATAGTGGATGTGAAATGATGAAGGAACACCAGTTCCTGTGAAAAAGAAAACGATGGTTTCACTGTGCAAAGCTACATGCATATGATATATAGTAATTGCTAGAGAATATTTGCTCTTTACACTTTATGAAGATGGACCATTCTTTTAACTTACCATGGACCCTTCATATATATATATATATATTGGGGTCCA